GGCTTTTATGGTTTGTTCCACCAACAGATTTTCTATAAGATGTAAAGAAAAATAAAAAAAAAAGAGAAGGGAGGGTTCAGTTTTCATTAATGGAGAGAGTGGTGAAAGAAAAAATCTGGAGTAGGGAAAACTGGAGGAGAGAAAGGAGAGGATGTAGTGGGAAATAAAATAAATAGAAGAAGGTAGAGAAGGGAGGGAAACAGAAGGGGGGGGGGGGGTCAGAAGAAAATAGAAAAGGAGGGGAGAGAAAGACTTACAGATTACTTTCTAACATAATGAAACTTCCTCCAAGCAAAGTAGGCCTTCCAGGTGCAAAGGTAGACTTTACAGGAAAGCAACATTCTATCCTTCAAGAGGGTAGGAATGACTGAATCTGAAACCACCATGCTGTTAAAGCCAGCAAACCGAGCAGCAGGACAGAGCACTGGCCATTTGGACAGGAGGTCTAGACAATCTGGAAGGGCCCATGGAGGGTTTGCCATAAGCTGAAGTATGTTTGAATATAATGTCTTTCTGGACCAATAAGGATCACTGGAATGCCCTATTTCATTGATCCTGGAATAGGCTAGGAAGAATCTGGAGAGATGGAAAGGTGCTGATCAAGTTGAACTGATCCCATGGCATCACCAGAACATCAACTGTATCCAAGGATCCCTGGACTTGGTGACAAACCTGTCCAGTGTGTTGCTGAATTTGAATGCCAGGAGGTATATGTCCGGCATCCGCCACCTCTTTCAAAGGGCTTGAAAAATCTCCAGATGGAAAGTCTATTACTTCGGATCCAGTTGAGAAAGTCCACCTGCCAATTTTCAATGCCTGGGATGCGGACGGAGGACAGTTCTGCCAAGAGATGTTCAAGTGAAGTTCTGCCCTCTGATTGCTATAGTCTATGGCCATGGCATTGTAGAAGCGGATCCTCGTCAGACATCCCCACCAAAGAGGAATTCATCCTTGAAGGGACAGATGAATGACTCTGAGTTACAGAGTGTTGACTGGAAGGCAAATTTCCTCCTATAACCAAGTCCCTTGTAAAGGGGACTGGCCCTATAATTGAAAATTGTCCAGATACTCTTGATAATGGGCAGAGCCAAGACTGGGGCAAGCAACTTGGTGAACACCCAGGAAGCCGTGGACAGGCCAAAAGTAAAGGCGACGACAAATTAGTAATGCTGATTGCCAACTGCAAAATGCAGATAGCATTGATGAGGTGGAAAATGGGAATGTGCAGATAGGCATCCTGGATATTTACAAAGGCCAGAATATCCCTTGAAAGGAGGGGTGGCAATTACTGACCTGGCATTTTCCATGCAACACTTTTGAACCCATAGGAACAAGTTGAGAATTTTTCAATCCAGAATGTGCAGTGCTCCTTCATTCAGTTTTGGAAACAAAAAAAGTTTCGAGTAGCCCTGAAAGTACTCTCCTGTTGGTAAAAGGGTAATGAGCCCTTGATTCAAGAGTTGTTTGACAGCAGCAAGCAGATCCAACCAGGATCAAGCAGGAGACAAGTTGTAGAACGTGAAGTTGGGAGAAAGCAGGCTGTGAAACCTCAGTTTGTAGCCCCTGGAAATGACACTCTGTACCCAGGTGTCTGAGATTTTCTGGGACCAGAAGGCTGACATATGCTCCCCCACTTTGATAAATGGGGAAGCCCCATCAATGTGAGGAGGCCATGGCACAAGCCTAGACTGGTTTGGAAGGACATGTCTTCTTATGAAAGTATGTTCCTGTCTTAAACTTAGCTTTGGAAGGCTGAAAGGGAAGAAATGAACCCTTTCTAACCTCAGCAGAAGACCTAATGTTAGAGGTGATCTTCTTTATATACTTATCCAAGTAGGGACCAAACAGGTATTAATGTTCAAAGGGGAACCCCTCAAGGCATTTTTTGCAGAGGAGTTCTGCTGGCCAACATTTAAGACAGAAAGTTCTGCAAAAGTGAATAGAAAGAAGGGTATGACAGTGGGGGGCAGCAAAGGGAGGTGAGGAGTGTGGGGGGTATGACAGAAGACAGTAGGTGCAGGGAGGAGTAAAGAGGATATTCCAGTTGGTATTATGAGTAGGTGAGGAGTGTGGAAGGTATAATAGCAGTGAATATGAACAGGTGAGAAGTGCTGAGAATGTGACAGCAGGCCATATGCAGAACAGGAGCATGAAAAATATGACAGTGGCCATTATGAACAGAAGAGGAGTGTAATAGGTATGATATTGGAGAATATGCGCAAGAGGGCAGAGGGTATGATGATGGACAGTACGTGCAGGAGAAGATTGGTGGAGAGTATGATTGTGGGCAGTATGTACAGGACAGGATTGCGAAGGGTATGACAGCGGGCTGTATTTGCAGGAGAGAAGTGGTGGCTATTTAGGTAGGAGAAGCATTGGAAGGGTTTGACATAGGGCAGCATGTGCAAAAGAGGAGTGACAGAGCAGAAAGATAGTCTCTAGCAGCCTTTCTCAACCTTTGTACCCAATGAGACCCCTTAAAATATTTTTCAGATCTATGGGAACCCCTGTTAAAACCAAGTACCTGGTGGTCAGAGGAACCCTGGCTGAGAATGGCTGCTCTAAGTATATATGCCCCTTATCATCATGAATGTATTAAATCTTAAAGTGGTAGTAAAAACCCACTTTATTTTTACATACAGATAAGCTTATAATACAGCTTACCTGTAGTCAAAATGATTATCTCCTAAACGTACATGTTTAGGAGATATCCCATTTTTTTTCTTTTTAACTGGCGCATACGCTATGAAGGAAAAGCAGAGAACTCTGGCATGGCCCATGACTTCCACACGCATGAGTGAGATTGACGTAATCGCGGCTCAGCCAGTCAGATGGCCAGAGCTTGAGAACCCAGAAAGAAGACCAGGTGAAGATGAAAGCCTTTACAGTGGTGACAGCGCGCCAGTGGAAGGCTTTGTTGTAAGGGCACAACTGTACACAGTACAGAGTAAAGCCCTGTACACATGATGAGATTATCGGATGAACGATCGCCCCGTTTTTTTTTCGCCTGCTAGTCTCACATTGAAAGTGAAAAGGTTACTAAAGATATGAAAATTCTCCTACGAAAGAAAAGAATTTCGAAAGTGATGTCATGTATTGTATTTGTATAGTATTTTTGGACGACTACTGTACTGATTAAATGAAAATCGTACGATCTGGTATCGTACAAGAAACATTTTTGCGCTAGTCCCTTCGGATATTGTTGCATGAATTGTCGTGATTGGCTCTAAAAAACTGTGTACTAACGATCTGATTATCGGACGATCGGTCCTCGTACAAAAATTTTCGTACAATTTTCTTATAGTGTGTACGGGGCATAAAACAGTCCCAGCTACCCCTACTCTGATAAAAATAGATAATCTGATCATTGATATCCATTGAAAAGCATCTTCCTGATGAGGCTTTACATTTAAGTGTTTTTAGCTAGTACAAATAGGGATGAGCGAAACTGAGAGTTCTTATTTCCCCCACATCCCCCCCATTTAGGTGAAACTCAAGAGATTTCTGTGAAATTTCACTATTTTGGTGCAATGCATCGGAGTCGATAGGGAAGGTGAAATTAATATATTGTTTTCAGAGGTGCAACAGGCTTTAAAGTAGAACTATAGGCAAAACTTTTTTTTTTCCATTTTGGATAGAATAAGGGAAGGTCATAACCCCTGTCAGTTTAGTTTTTAACATCTGTGTCCTATTGGGGAGATTTAACCTCACATCCTGTGTCACTTCCAAAACAGGAAGTGAGAACTAACCCCCACAAATTAAGGGAATTCCCCCCCCCCCCGGTCACCAGAACTAGTTTCCCCATTGGAAGAATTCCCTTCCATTATTTTTCTGGGGATAACTCAAAATATGGGATTTTCTTTACCTTCAATGATAATGGTAAACAGGACAAATAGAGAGGGTGAATTTCCCTGAAGGGTACACAGAAAGCAATAAAACCTGATTGGAGTACTAATCCCTCTCCACTCCATCCAAAACGAAAAAAAAAAAAAAAATTGCCTTGAGTTATACTTTAAATAACTGCTAAGGGTTCCAGTAGCTTCTTTCAACTGGACCTGTTTTTGTTCAGTGGCTAAATGGTTAGCACTTCCACCTGGCAGCACTAGGTCTTTGGTTCAAACCCCAGCCATGGCACCACCTGCCTGAAGTTTGCAGTTGTGCCTGTGTGGGTTTCCTCTGGTTATTCCAGTTTCCTCCCACACTCCAAAGACACGCTGGTAGGTTAATTGGATCCTGTCTAAATTGGCCCTAGTATGTGTATGTATGAATGTGAGTTAGGGACCTTAGATTGTACACCCTTGAGGGTTAGGGACTGATGTGAATGTACAATATATATATGTAAAGCACTGTGTAAATTAACAGCAAAAGTACCTGAAATAAATAATAAAATGGCCCATATCCAAGTGTGTTGTATAGCTGTGGCCCCCTCTGGATGCTGTGCTTCCTTCCACCAGCAGGCCACTGTAGCGACATAAAAGCCTACAGAAGGGACCCCAGCAGCCACCTAGGACATGTTATTCGACACACCTGGAGCAAAGAGCGAACATTCCTCAGTCATTTACCTGGAAAGGTGAGTATGAAACCTGATCTTTTACAGGGTTGCTATTATTTTATTTTTTATGGTGACAGGGTCTCTTTACCACCTCCAGAAGACCTGCTATGGATGTATCTCACTTCAGAGAAAGAAGTGGTCATTGAAAATAGAGTATTTCTCACTTTCCAAAATGTTACTCGGAACTGATCTCCCGCTGTCTGTGTTCCGCGGACACTTTAGGGTGTCGTACTGCTACCTTGGTGAGGCGCACATACTTCCTTGTTATTGCTGTGAGAAAGGAGCTGATTGGCTCATTCAGTACAGGAGGCTTGACGGCTGTTATGATCGGTGTCATAGGTGGGGAAGCGGTTTTCAAGTGAGGGGGGATCGGTGGATGTCAGGGCTGTGACCCCGGAGGAGGGAAGCGGGTCCCTGAGGTGTCACCTGACCCCAGGTGAGCACTGCCATGGCAGGAAAGGGGGTGAAGCGCGCTAACTGCTTGCTTCTTCTTCAGTGTGAATGGGACTCGTGTAGCTATGTGTGTTCCCGGATGGAGGAGCTGTGTTCTCATGTGTCTGATCACCTCGGGTCCAGCAGATGGCCAATACAGAGGAACATGGCACCTGTGAAGGTGAGGACTCTCCTTCCCTACCTTGTCTCTTATCATCTCTCTCCCCTCACACTTCCATTCTCACAATGAATGTTCCCTGTGTACTACTTTACAATGGTTTAAAAAGAATTTTCAGATGCTGTGCTAGGGGAGCACATGTGTGGGTGTGCTCCCGATCCGGGCTGTGTGCATCCATAGACAACCACAGCATTGGAAGCTGCTCCCTCCTCACAGGAGTTTGACTGACAGCAGTAGGAGCCAATGGCTTCACTGCCCTCAGAGAGTCCTATGAGGGGAGCACTGAAAGGAGTCAGGTAACTGTTTAGGGATGGGGGGAGGGGAACAGGGAATGGAGTGTTTTATTTTTTCCATAAAAATGATTGTAGAGGCTTAGTTTTTTAGGGATACACTGATATTGGTACCAGTGCCGATACTGAGTATTATTTATTTCAGGTACTTATATAGCGCGTCAATTTACGCAGTGCTTTACATATATATTGTACATTCACATCAGTCCCTAACCCTCAAGGGGCGTACAATCTAAGGTCCCTAACCTCACATTCATACATACATACATATACTAGGGCCACTTTAGAGAGGAGCCAATTCACCTACCAGCATGCCTTTGAAGTGTGGGAGGAAAACCGGAGTACCCGGAGGAAACCCACACAGGCAAAGGGAGAACATGCAAACTCCAGGCAGGTGGTGCCATGGTTGGGATTCAAACCCACAACTGCCAGGCGGCAGTGCTAACCATTTAGCCAGTGTGCTACCCATATTCTCACAAGTACTCGTAAAAAAAAGCTCCTGATACCCAAACCAATGCTTGCGGTGTCATTTGCATCAATAAAAATATATGGATGCAAATGGCATGCGATTTGAACAGAAATGCGATTCCTGTCCAAATCACATGCGGGAGTGGGAGAGAAGGGCGTGTGGGGATGTATGCACTGGTGTCGGTTATCAGGCAGAGGATGGAGGAAGATGCTCCGGATTCTTGGCTGTAGGAGAGAAAGCTGTAAGAATTTGAAATCCCCTCTGCTTTTTCTCCTCTCCTTGCAGAGATGACAGTACAGGCTAAACGACTTGTGATTGGTCAGCACCATCACGGCCATTGCCTTGTCATAGCCTAAGCTCACACAGGAGCAGTGAAGAACCACATGCGATTTGGACAGAAATCACATTCCTGTTCAAGTCGCCATGCTATTCTTTGCTGTGCAATTTGCGTCCATACATTTTGTATTGACACAAATCACACCAACGCAAAGTATCGGTACTCGGTATTGGCGAGTACTTGAAAGCCGAATAAGGTAATCAGGTATTGGTGCAATCCCTATATTTTTTTTTTCATTTATTATTAAAATAATAAAACATGTCCACTTTTACCTGCTCCTGTGCAGTCCCAATTCTCGTCTTCTGGGGTTCCCTGCAGGCTCTCCTGGCTCCTCCTCCCCCCTGAGTGCACCATAGCAAGCCGCTTGCTTTATGAGCTCTCGTGCAGGCTCGAACCCAAGCCAGGCTGTGTGCCATTCCCTCCTCGCACAGGTTTTGACTGACAGCAGAAGGAGCCAATGGTTCGCTGATACTGCTCAGGTAAGTATTTTGGGGAGGAGCCTGAACATAAAAGGTTTTTTTTTTTACCTTAATGCATGAACCACTGTTCAGGTTTACACATACGCAGGTCAGGGAATGCATTCTAATTGCACGTGTTCCCCAACTGCAGACCCCTGGTCTTTTGCAGTTTGCAGGAATGCTATTCATTCTTAATGGCACTTCAACACATCTGAAAAGGCAGCACGTTTTTGGGTGTGTGAAACCGCATGGTGTTCCATTTCTTTTTTTTTTTAACGACTTTCCTGCTGCCCTATAGCTGATATACTGCTACAGGGCGGCAGGGTTGCACAAAATCACATGTGTATATATACGTGATTTTACAGTTCTGGGTAGGGGGCGCATGCGTGAGGCCTCGGCTGTCAATCACTGGGTTCCAGCCGGTGATTACTCGCCAGCGCCCAGTGATCGCATGCATTACTGATGGAGGGAGAGAAATGTATGTAAACAATACAGATCTCTCCCCTGTCAGCTCCTGCACACTGCTTTGTGTGGGCTCTGCATAGCAGAGCCATACAAAGCAGTGTGCTTACAGTTGAAAGCACACACACAGCTTACAGTAAAACGGCACACAGTTAACCTTTGATCGCCCCACGTTATCCCCTTCCTGCCCAGTGCCATTAGTACAGTGTCAGTGCTTTTTATTAGCACTGATCACTGTATTGGTGTTACTGGGGATGTCAGTGACACCAAGTCAGTCCTTCCCCCTCCCCCCAGTGTCAGAATACACGCCACAGTCCTGCTTTAAGTCTCTGATTGCCGCCAATACTAGTAAAAAAAACTAAAATCCCAGTATATATACCGCCATTTGTAAATGCTTTAACTTTCACGTAAACCAATTAATTTTACAAGTACTTGGATTTTTTTTTAGCAAAGACAATATATTTTGGCCTAAATTTATGATGAAATTAGATTTTTAAATTTTTTTTACTGAACATGTTTAATAGCATACCACCAAGAGGAAGCTCTGTTTGTGGAAAAAAAGAACATACATTTCATTTGGGTGGCGCGTTGCATGACCGCACAATTGTCAGTTAAGGTAACGCAGTGCCAGAATGCAAATAAATGGCCTCAGGAAGGGGTTTAAATCCTCTGGAGGGCAAGTGGTTAAAAGGGTCAGGGCTGCTGTGTCCGTGCAAAACACAGCACGCAGGATCTGCATATGTGTGTGAACCTAGCCTAAAGATGAGCACAGGTTTGGACTGAAGCCAGAAACTGTCACTCCCACCCAATCAGCTGTGGCCAGAATATTCCCCACCTTTCATCTGCACGTACACAAAGGGGCAATGCTCATGACTTCATTCACCTAATATGGCACCAGCGAGGGACCCAAGAAGAGGATTGGGGCTGTTCTGCAAAACCATTGCACAGAGCAGGAAGTATGACCTAAAACAAATGAAGTTTTCTAATCATTTAGTCGTGTTGATATAACTATGGTGCACTTTTTACATGGTATGAGATTGAATTGAATGAACAAAAAGGTATCCAATCCCAAGTACCTAAATAAAAGGATTTTGTTTATAAATATTTCTTTTGTCTAATATTTTTTTTGGATGACCTAACAGCACTAAATGTAAAACATTTCCAGCAATAAATGAACCCCTTTCTGCCTGTAGTCCTTCTTTTAATGTTTCTTAACACAATGACTCATGTTGAGGGTATAGTAATTAAAGTTCTGCCTTTGAGACATAGCAGCTGACGCGTTGCGTGACTGGTATGTCTCAGATCTGACTGTCACTGACAGCTCAGGTCTCCCTAACAAATGGAAACCAAACAGACTGGTTCCCAATTACATAGTGATTACATTCAAGCTGGAGGCTTTACTGACCAAATAACCTTGCACCTGAATTTGGCACTGTAAATGCCAATGCAGCCTAAAGGTGGCAGTCTTCATCTATGATGAATAAAACTGTAATTATCAGGTTCAATTACAGTTTTAGAAAAAAAAAGCTAATCTATAAAGTAGAATTTTCTTTTTTTTTTTTCTTAATTTTTGTACACTTGTCAGCCTTTAATAAAAAATAAAGCAGATCGGGGTTGTCATTTAAACCGCACAGTTAATCAAATAAAAGCCCTATATGTTCTTTACAAATATGTAATGACTAAGGTATGCAAATTAACCAGATTATCTGTCAAGTTAACAGACGTATACTAGTGTTGCTAGATTTGTCCTAGGCATCCGTGATCTTGGGTCACAAAAGGGTTATGACGTAGTTATATGCACATCTATCTTTGTCTGCAATCTGTCACACTGCATATTGTGTGTTATTATTATTCTATTTTTTATACACTTTGGGCTGTCCATCTACAAGTTAACATTTAGACCTCGTTCACAGAGAGATAAGTACGCCTTTGGACATGTTACATGTTCCACTCATTTTCTTTATTGTACAACATGGGACACGGAGCAGGCTATTCATGATGTGGGTTATATGCTACCTATCGGTGAATGGACACTGGCTGATCAATCAAATAGGAAGTCCTCCCCTATATAACCCATCCTACACAGGAAATACTTCAGTTTTTTTGCCAGTGTCTGTCACGGATGTGCTGCATGTGCTCTTGGAGCATATTTGGAGGTCTGGAATGGTTCTGCTGAGAATCAAGGACTTCAGTCAGATCCATTTGAAAAGCTGTTAGCCAAACTTAATGGCATTCGAGCCTCTTTGGTTAAGAGAGAAAACTCCCTCAGGGTTTGCCTGTAATGCTGCCTTACAGTTCTGGACCCTGCATAATGGAATCCTGCGCAGTGTTTGTTCCGACCAAGGTTTTTCCATCAGGGTGCTATACAGGTCCAAGCGGTGGACCCCAGATGTAAGGGGTGCTGAGTCCCTGAAGGCCTTTTATGACAGAGCTCTCTGTGATGGGTGAAGGTTAGACTTTTTTTTTTTTTTTTTTTTATTCAGAGTCCTGCAGCGGGAATGGTAAGTTTACATTTGCAGTGATTCTTTGAAAATCCGACTGTCTGGTCATTCTCCAAGTGACCACTGGGGCAGTGTGGTGTTTGGTCTGGTCATGCTTTGTGGGTCTCTGAAGGAGTATTGGGCTGCAGCTTTCTCCTCCAGCCACTAGGGCCTGTGGGACCTCTTTCTATAGCCTACTCTTGTGCAGTGGAGGCAGGAAGTAGAGGAATGGCCATTTTGGCTTATGTTTGAAGTCACATTTGGGCTGAAGGATTAGTGAGGCTCATGAGAGATAGCAGGGACATGGAGCAGTCCATGGCTGGATGATGATGTGTGAGTATTACCTGTAGGGGAGCTGCATGACCAGACAGGACACAATTGTACACTGTATTAGCCTGCATAGTCCTTAATGACACATATCTTCGTGTACCAGTTTTTTCTGGCTCATCAAGGGTTTCTGCAATTTGCAGTAAAGAATCTCCATTTTTTTTGTTTTGGGGCACTGCCCTTTGGGCTGGCCACAGCCCCCCGAGTGTTCACAAAGCTTCGGTGATGGACGTGCTGAGGACACGGGGGTGTCAATTTTATAATACCTTAATGTTCCTTTTGCTCAGGGAGCACAGTTCCAAGTTTGTTCAGAATCTGGAGAAGGGTAATTTTTCCGTCCAGGCATATAGAAGATAGTAACCACTGATGCCAGTCTCTCCGGTTTTGGGGCTGCGTTGGACATGGCTACAGTTCAGGAGACTTTGTCTCCACATGAGAGAATACTGCCCATCAATATCTTGAAACTTCAGGCAGTACACTTTGGTCTGGATTATTAGATGAACCAGTTGCACAGGTTTGTGGTCAGGGTTCGGTCTGACAATACCATGACAGTGGCATATATCAACCACCAGGGCAGCATCAGGAGTCGTGCGGTTCAGTAAAAGGTGAACCACATTTTGTCTGGGGCAGAACAGCATGTGCTATTTCTGTCAGCAGTACATATTCAAGGGATAGAAAACTAGCAGAGTTTTTTTTTTTCTTCAAAGGTCAACAGTTGAGATCGGAGAGTGGTCTTGGATCCCGAGACGTTCTTGGCAATCTGCCAGCGTTGGGAAACTCTGGATATGGATCTACTGATTTCCTGATCTGTCTACAGCAAGTTAAACAGACAGTGTCCAAGATGAGAGTCCCACTGACATTAGGGGTAGATGCACTGGTAACGTCTTAGGGACCGGTTCCCCCTAATCTATGCCTTCCCTTGATTCAACTATTTTTGTGTCTTTTGCGCAGGATCTGGGAGGAGGTAACACTGGTAATAGTGATAGCCCTGCCTAACCTAGGAGGGCTTGGTACTTAGACATAGTGCAGGGGACGCTCCTTGGACACTTCTGGTCCACCCAGACCTATTGTCTTGGGTCCAATAATGTATCCTGCTTTACTATCACTAGGATTGAAGGCTTTGCTATTGAAGCCTAGGTCTGAAAAGATCAGGGGGTCTTGGGTCCTGTTTTCTCTGCACTGTGGAGCACCAGGAAGCTGGCTTCAGGGAACTTCCATTGGCCTGGAACTATTATTTGCATGGTGTGAAGCCAGGAAGTGGCACCCCCCGAAATGTGTGATCGAAATGTTTTTATCCTTTTTCCAATCAAGAGGGGAAATTAAATTGACCTTAAATACCATTAAGGGTCAGATTTTGTCTCTATCCATTTTTTTCCTAGAGAACGTTGTTTTTCACTTCTTGATTCATACTTCATGCAGGGTGTAATGGAGACAGTCCCGTCTGTCAGGCCGCTCTTGTGTCCTTGAGACTTGAACTTGGTCTTGGCTGCCTTTGCAGAAGCCACTTTTCGAACCAATTAAATAAACTTTAATCCTTTGACTTGGAAGGGGCTTCTTTGATTACTATCACTTGGTAGGAAGGGTGTCAGAACTGGCAGCTCTTTCATGTAAAGAGCCGTTCTTGGACTTGCATTATGATAAGGTGATGTTGCGTCCTCCTCTATCTTCTTGCCTAGAGTGGTTTCTAGTTTTATCTTCAATCGGGACAGCGTCTTGCCTTTATTTTTTTCTAGTTCAGTCGGTGGGAAAGATCAGTGCATACTCTGAATTTAGTTTGGGTGGTCAGGATTTACTTGAGTTTGCAGCAGGAATCCTGGTTTGTGCTGCCAGAAGGGCCCGGGAAGGGCAGGCGGCATCCAGGCTAACTATTTCTCATTGGATCTGCCAGTTTATTATTCAAGCTTATGGTTTGAAGGATATGGCCCACCATTTCCGGTGAGAGCGCACTCTACCAGGATTGTAGGGGCAACTTGGGCTATCCGCCATCAGGTGTTCATGGCTCAGGTTTGCAAGGCCTCTACATGGTCTTCTGTTCATACATTCACAAGGTTTTACCAGGTTGATGTCAGAGTTATGGAAGATTCTGCCTTAGGCTGCAGCTTGTCACGTAGGGCTTAGTGGGACCTTTTAGGATTGATGGTGGTGGGTATTGTGGTGTCACCCACCCCTCAGATATTTACATTTTTTTTTTTTTTTTTTTTTTTGCTTAGGACATCCCATATAGTCATGAACAGCCTGCTCTATGTCCCTTGATGTACAATAAAGAAAATTGGATTCTTTTTTCTACACATTTATCTGTAGAATCCATTTCTTGAAGTATATCACGGGACATAGAGGTCCCTTCCCTCTTTCTGCATTTTCATTGCTTGCTACAAAAACAGAAGTACTTCCTGTGTAGGAGGGGTTTTATAGGGGAGGACTTCCTGTTTGTTTAAGCTGCCAGTGTCCATTCACCTACAGCTGGCATATAACCCACATAGTTATGACTAGCCTGCTCTGTGTCCCATGATGTACTTAAAGAAATGAATTTTACAGGTAAGTATGTAGAAAAGAGATCCAATTTTTAGGGTGGAACATGTAACCTGTTTCAGCTCCTTCTGCTGTGCGGCTTGTAGTTCTCAATGAACTGCGAGGGTACTGGTGAACACTCATGTAGTTCATTGATTCCTTCTTCCAATGCTTCCAATTTTTTTTTTTTTTTTTTTTTTCTTTTTACAAAAGGTGAACTTGGCCTTTAAGCATACACCCGTGTGAGGGCCGTGTTTTCCTGCCTGGGTGTTCTGTACAGTCCCATTCATTTCAATTGGGGCGCAGGCTAAAAATGGCCCTCACACAGGTGTACACTTAGGTATGCTTTTGAGAATGGGGCCTTATCACCTAATTTAGAACAAAATCCTGTTTTCTTTATCTTTGTCAAACTTAACTGTTTGTTTTTCAGATGAGTTTTGTTGTTTATGGCAAGGCTGTGGATTTTTTTCCTTGGATAGCCCAGCAGAGCTTGACCGTCATGTTTATTTTCACTGTTACCACACCAAGCTGAAGCAAATGGGACTCCAGGCGCTACAGAATCAGCCAGATCTCAGTCCCTGCCAGCTAGATACTCAGAGTCGAAACATGATTCCAGAACTCCAAGACAGCTTTGTATGTATGTGGGAGCAGTGTGAGGTGAGAATGAGGAGTCCTAACATCCTCTTTTTCTTAATATGTCCACACTAAGTTCAATGATGGATAATAAATGCAGGCTCGATTTTAAAATCATTCCTCCAGCATATGCAGTTAGATACTTTTCATGAGCAGAGTATCCAATGGATTGTTCTTCCTGTCTCCTAGATTTCTGAACTGCAAGTGTACAGTATTATTATTATTATTATACAGGATTTATATAGCGCCAACAGTTTGCTCAGCGCTTTACAGTATATTATGTTAGCACATGTCTTTATCAAAGGATCTCATTGTATACTAATAACACTGTATTGAATATAATGACTTAAAATGTCAAAAACCAAACCTATACACTTCCAATTTGTATGCAACCAGGCATGCCCTTGCACTACCAAAGTTAAGGGTAAATCTAAAGGAAATGGAATACGAAAATTATATAATATATGACCAGCCTAAGTTTGCTTATGGCTTTTTTTTTTTTCTTTTTAAACAAAATTTTAGGGAATAAAAAACTCCCTGTGATTTACCTTTGAAGATTTCCTTTATGTTGGGGATATGTGCTTTTTTTTTAAATAAATGTAGTTCTTTTTAAATGTTTGATAGACTTTCTTTAACTTGTAGTTTTTTTCCATTTTGTTCTGTAGACCTCCTTTGACAATGCTGAGTGGTATTACAGACATGTTGATGCTCATGGCCTGAGTGCTGAATATGAAATGGCTGGTAAAGAAAACCGGGTTTTGATGTGTAGCTGGAAAGGTGAGCCTCCTTCTATCCTGAATGTGATAAAAAGCTGTATTCATTTCAGGGGTTAAAGTACAACTGAAATCAAAATTTTTTGCTTTGGATGGAGTGGAGAGTAACCCCTATCAGTTTATTTTTGCCATCTGTGTCCAACTGGGGAGATTTCCCTTCATCTCCTGTCTCAAAGCTAAAAGAGAAAGTTAGAAGAAATTCCTCCAAAGTAAGGGAATCCCTGGTTACCACAGAATCCCCAGAAGTATTGTACAAATTGGAAATTTTCTCCCTATTCATGTTCTGGTGATAAACCTAAATTGTGTATTTTTCTTTCACGTTCAGTGACAATAGTTAAGAGGACAAATGAAGACAGTGAATCTCCCTAATTGGAGCACAGACCGCAGTAAAAACCCAGCAGGTGTTCTGTTCGCTCTCCACTCTATCCAAAGCTAAAAAAAGTTTAGTCTTAGTTCTGCTTTAAGACTGATTGTTTATTTGTTTGTTTTGGGCAGTGGCTGTAGTTTTAATTCACTTTTTTTGTACTTTATCCACTATGTATTGTTTTCCCCTTAATTTGTATTTTTCAGTTGTATCATGCCTTTTCGGCTTCTCAATCACCATTTTCTCTCCTGTTCAAATCTTTTCAGACTGTGATTGTTCCTGTAAAAGTAGATGCAAGCTCCGAGAGCATTTGCGCAGTCACACTCAAGAAAAAGTGGTCTCCTGCCCCAATTGTGGGGAATGTTTTCCAACAACACAAAATTCTATGACCATCTCCGGCGACAGACATCTTTAGATCGTAAGTAAGGCAATGTGTGATGGTAAAGAACAGGTTGTTTTGAAGGAAAACGTTTATGTTGGGTTTCTACTTTTCCTCTGTACTAATTTTATGAAAACGCATACATGCCTATAAGTCCTATAAGATTCTAACTTCAAGTTTTATATTGGACTAGGTTTGAAAGAATCTGAAATGTCCCCTAGTATATTTCGGGATTTGAAGAAGACTGTTCCATAATTTTGCCTTTGTTTGTTAATTTTAAACAATGTAGCTTGGTGATTTTAAAGGGATAAATTCACCCAATTGTGACATTTTAGTGTATGTAGTGTTTGGTGTATTTTTTTTTTTTTTTTTTTTTTTTTATTTGGGTTTTTGATTGTTGCATCAGAAACCATTGGTTTCTGCAGTTCCCAGTTCTGAACTTCTTGTACCATATGTCCCAGCCAACCTGAGTCTGCTGAAGATCAGCGCAATAGTGTTTTTTGTATGGACTATGCTTCAGAAAGCAGGCTGGGGTGCAGCAGTGGATGGGCTACAGATGCAGGCTGGGAGAGTATTGGTAGCTCAAGAAGGTATAGACAATATGCTTGAGTGGTGACAGCATGTCCCACTCGATATTCAATAGAGGAAATTGTCATGTGATGCAGCCTGGAACCTTGAAGCGGCTGCTAGAGGTGGGAGAGGCACCACCTCCGATGCTGAAGTGTGAGAAGTAAAGGAACCATGACACCAGAGATTCTCTAGCTGTGCTGCCATCCAATCCACCAGCATGGCTTGCAGCACATATGCCAGCCCATGTCAATGGTGTCTTAGACAGGTATCGTTCATTGTGGGAATCTGGTGTCAAGATAAATAAATGTATATATCTTGCATACACTGCTCAAAAAAAAATTAAAGAGACACTTTTTAATCAGAGTATAGCATCAAGTCAATTAAACTCCCTGGGATATTGATCTGGTCAGTTAAGTAGCAGAGGGGTTGGTAATCAGTTTCAGCTGCTTTGGTGCTAATGAAATTAACAACAGGTGCACTAGATGGGCAACAATGAGACAAAATATCACACTGCAATGCACAGAAACGTGTAAACACGTCAAAATGCAACACTAGGTCAGAGGAAACATGCTTTTGAAAAACAATATATGCAGAAAAGAGGCACATGGAAGTACGCCAAAAGGCATTGCTCTACTCCACGTTTTTTTTAATGTGCATTGTAGTGTGAATGGGCCTTACTTGCAGTTGAGCACCACAAACTGTATTTTTATTTTTAATATTCAAGGCATAATCGCCTATCTGTCCATGTCTAGCCACGGCCATCTTGAGTGAGGGCAGATGATTTATGTAGCATTAACTTCCTGGAATCCTGAAATCCATTTGCCCTTAACTCAAGCATGGAGGCATGCTTAGCTGAGAAAGCCCTCTCCTCTTATCTTCCCGATGAAAGAAAAAAAATGCCTGTGAAGATTACTAGGAAGTATGACATCACGGTGGCCTAGGCTTGAAACCAGGAAGCAACAAAAGAAATGTAAAATAAAATGATTTAAAATGAGTAAATATAATATACTTTTTTTATTTGCAAATAGAAGCAAAAGAGGCACTGCATTAAGCACTTTTATTAATATGTCTGCATATTTACTGATGCTAGCAGCATGAGGATTAAAGTGGTACTAAACCCAAAAGAAAACTGTTGTGTGTGCTGTTTTTTTTTTTTTTTTTTTTTTTTTACATTTTGGGTTTTAGCTGGTATTAAACATAAAAGCAAACACTTATTATATTGCAGATTACCAGTTCTTAGATGTGATGGCTGCATTAGTTTTCTTTTTTAAGCTTTCTTTACTTTTTCCCCTGGTGATCAGGGCAGTAAGTCTGTCAAATCCAACGAAACAAGCTCTCCTACAAATGTACCAGGTAAGAGTGTTGAAACAAACCGTTTACCACTGACAGAGGCGCTTATAATGTTTAACTTTTTTTCATGTAAAGAATGTATTCCTCCCCCCCCCAAAAAAAAACAAAAAACAGTTGCTATAACTTCCATGGAGCTCTGCTTCAATTTTTTAGTGTGTCTAAATCTAGTTCATCTAACACTCTCCTCCTCCAGGCTGACAATGCTAATGTCTGCTGTGCCACCATGCTCCTTCATCCAGAGTGTAGGCAGTCTCATACAGGAAGTGTGTTACTGGCCAGATCATCTGGTAAAAAAAAGCTTAAAAAAGAAAATTGATAAAGCCACCACATCTAATGATTGGTAAGCTGCAATATATTACATATTTGGGATTATTACCGCTTTAATAATGCTTTGGAAATAGGCAGTGTTGATTAAGTGTTACGTTCCACTTTTAGGATGTAACTTCCTTCTGTGTGTTTTGTGTCACCTGTACAGAACATAGATTCCAGTGTACACATTGTTCAAAGAGATTTGCAACAGAAAGGCTGCTGCGAGATCACATGCGTAATCATGGTACGTTCTTGCGATTTTTCTGCCATTTTTACATTGTGTGCTGATTATTGCACTTCAGTTTATCCTTTTTTTATGAGGTCATTAAAACCTACCCAGGCTGGATTTAATAGCATCAGGTGAGACTAACCCTGACGATCTTTCCTATCTCAATCATTTTTATATTGTTTTTATAGAAGACTGCTGTTTAATATATACTCATTATAAGCTCAAATAGGCAAAAAGACTAACTGTAAAAATACTTGTTTTAAATGTTTTTAATCAATTATTTGCTTTAAAAACTTTGAATTGTATTTTCTTGCTGTATTGCCCTGCCTCGTGTGGTTTTCAGTAATGGTTGTAATGTTAATTACATGATTGACAACAACATTAATTGGTCCCATGTGTAAATGCACATATTGTAGTCCTGACAATCTTTTTACCTACAGTTTTTTTTAATGTATATCTTCAGTCATTTTTACAGTGTTTTGTTATATTTTCCCTGTGTTACAGTAAACCATTATAAGTGCCCTTTGTGTGATATGACATGCCCACTGCCATCCACCCTACGGACTCACATTCGATTCAGGCACAGTGATGAGCGGCCATTTAAATGTGAGCATTGTGACTACAGGTGAATTAAGACATTTTCTTCTTATTTATGCTTTAAGTCGTCCATATCATCTTAATGGGATGCGTAGCATACAAAAAGAGCTGCTTAGATGGCATTCCCACTCAGAATCAATGGTTTGTCATACTTACTTGCAATCTTTTGATCAATCTACTTTAACCACTTGACCTCCAGAGGATTTACCCCCCCTTAATGACCAGGCCTCTTTTTGCTACTCGGCGCTGCAGTAATTCCACTGATAATTGCGCGGCCATGCAATGCTGCACCCAAACGAAATTTACGTCCTTTTTTTCACACAAAATAGAGCTTTCTTTCGGTGGTATTTGATCACCTGTGCGCTTTTTATTTTTCACGCTATAAACAAAAAAAGGCCAAAATTTTTTAAGAAAAAAAAACGATATTTTTTACTTTCAGCTATAAAAAATATATAGTAAACTCAAAGTTAGTTATAAATTTAGGCCAAAATGTATTCTGCTACATGTTTTTGGTAAAAAAAAATCCCAATAAGTGTATATTGATTGCTTTGTGTGAAAGTTATAGCGTCTACAAACTATGGTATAGATACTGCAATTTACGCCATTTTTTTGCTATACAGCGCTGCGCTAGTTTAACGGACAATTGCGCGGTCAAATGAAATTTACATCCTTTTTTTTTTTTTTCCCCACAAATTGAGCTTTCTTTCGGTGGTATTTGATCGCCTGTGCCGTTTTTATTTTTTGCGCTATTAAAAAAAAGGCTGACAATTTTGAGGAAAAAAAACACAATATTTTGAACATTTTGCTATAAAACATGTCCAGTAAAAAAAAAATTTAAAAATCAAATTTAGTCATAAATTTCTGCCAAAATACATCTTTGCTAAAAAAAAAAAAACAATACGTGTAATTTAATTGGTTTACGTGAAAGTTATAGCATTTACAAATGGCGGGAAAGATACTGGGATTTTTAGATTTTTTTTTTTTTATACTAATGTGGCGATCAGCGACTTATGGCGACGATCAGCGACTTATGGCGGGACTGCGGCGGACATTCTGACATTGAGGGGTACTGACTTGGGGTCACTGACATCCCCAGTGACACCAATACAGTGATCAGTGCAAAAAAAAAAAAAACACTGACACTGTACTAATGGCACTGGGGAGGAAGGGGTTAACTTTTATTAGGTAATGAAAGGGTTAACTGTGTGAAGGGAGTGTTTTACTAGGGGGCGGGGGTGTGTAATGCAGGGAACACCGCTGATTGGGAGAGAGACACTCTTCTGTCCCGATCAGCGTGTCCTGGAGCTGTCAGGGAACTGACAGAAAGCACAGCTACTGTCAGCGATTGCCGGGACATAGCCGTAACGACCGGCTGTGACCCGGCGACTGACATCCGCAGCTGTGATCGGCGGGACAGGTAGGGCGGCGGCGGCGCGCCTCACATGCGCCCCCTACCTGTTTTAAAAACACACGTTTTGAAACGTGGTTTTGCCCAGCCGTGCCGCCCTGCCGCCGTATTTCTACAGTGGCTGGGCGGCATGTGGTTAAAATCATACATCCTATATTTAACCCCTTCACATATATTCTCTCTCCTCCCTCTTCCCCGAACCATTGCTATAAGGCAGGATGGATCCATGCTTTCATTTTCTTTACGGCAAATTCTGACCCTACCATCTGAATGTCGCAGCAACCAGTCTGCCCATTCTCCTCTGATATCAACAAGGCATGTTCATCCACACAGTTGCCACTCACTTGATATTTTCTCTGTTTTGGACTATTTTCTGTAAAACCTAGAGATGGTTGTGTGTGGAAATTTCAGTAGATCAGCAGGTTTTGAATTACTCAGCCCAGCCCTTCTGACACCAACAACCATGCCACCTTCAAAGTCACTTACATCCCCTTTCTTCCCCATTCTGATGCTCAGTTTGAACTTCAGCAAGTTGTCTTCACCACGGCTACATGCCTAAATGCATTGAGTTGCTGCCATGTGATTGGCTGATTAACAATTTGTGTTACCAAGCAGTTGAACAGGTGTGCTGGCAAGTGTGGATGGATAGATGGAGATTCTCTCTCTCATTCTCCCTCTCCTCTCCCTCTCTCTCCCTCCCTCCCCCTCTCTCTCTCTCTCTCTCCTCTCTCTCTCTCTCCTCTCTCTCTCTCTCTCTCTCTCTCTCTCTCTCTCTCCTCTCTCTCTCCTCTCTCTCTCTCTCTCCTTCTCTCTCTCTCTCCTTCTCTCTCTCTCTCCTTCCCTCCTCTCTTCCTCCTTCCCTCCCTCTTCCTCCCTCCCTCCCTCCAGAATGGATTAAACTCATTTCTTTTCCTCAACACTCTACAAACAATACCCCATAATGACAACATGAAAGAAGTTTGTTTTGAAATCTTTGCAATTTATAAAAATAAAAAATGAAAAAAAAAAAACCCACATGTACATAAGTATTTACAGCCATGACACTCAAAATTGAGCTCTGGTACATCCTGTTCCCACTGATCATCCTTGAGATGTTTCCACAACTTGATTGGAGTCCACCTGTGGGAAATTCAGTTGATTGGACATGATTAGGAAAGGCATAAACCTGTCTATATAAGGTCCCACAGTTAACAGTGCATGTCAGAGAATAAACCAATCCATGAAGACCTCCGAGACAGGATTGTATCAAGACACAGATCTGGGGAAGGGTACAGAAAAATGTCTGCAGCATTGAAGGTCCCAATGAGCACAGTGGCCTCCATCATCCGTAAATGGAAGAAGTTTGGAACTACCAGGAATCTTCCTAGAGTGGGCCGCCTGGCCAAAATGAGCGATCGAGGGAGAAGGGCCTTAGCCTGGGAGGTAACCAAGCACCCAATGGTCACTCTGAAAGAGCTCCAGCATTTCTCTATGGAGAGAGGAGAACCTTCCAGAAGAACAACCATCTCTGCAGCACTCCACCAATCAGGCCTGTATGGTAGAGTGGCCAAACAGAAGCCACTCCTCAGTAAAAGGCAAATGGCAGACCGCCTGGAGTTTGCCAAAAGGCACCTGAGGGACTCTCAGACTATGAGAAACAAAACTTTCTGGTCTGATGAAACGAAAGATTGAACTCTTTGGCTTGAATGCCAAGCGTCATGTCTGGAGGAAAGCCGGCACCGCTCACCACCTGGCCAATACCATCCCTACAGTGAAGCATGGTGGTGGCAGCATCATGGTGTGGGGATGTTTTTCAGCGGCAGGAACTGGGAGACTAGTCAGGATTGAAGGAAAGATGAATGCAGCAATGTACAGAGACAACCTTGATGAACACCTGTTCCAGAGCACTCTGGACCTTAGACTAGGGCAACGGTTCATCTTTCAACAGGACAACAACCCTAAGCACACAGCCCACATAACAAAGGAAGGAGTGGCTACGGGCCTACTGTGTGAATGTCCTGGAGTGGCCCAGCCAGAGCCCAGACTTGAACCTGATTGAACATCTCTGGAGAGATCTGAAAATGGCTGTGCACCGCCATTCCCCATCCATCCTGAGGGAGCTTGAGAGATACTGCAAAGAAGAATGGGAGAAATTGCCCAAAAATAGGTGTGCCAAGCTTGTAGCATCATCCTCAAAATGACTTGAGGCTGTAATTGGTGCTAAAGATGCTACAATAAAGTATGGAGCAAAGGCTGTGAATACTTGTGTTTTTTTTTTTTTTGTTTTTTTAATAAATTGCAAAGATTTCAAAACGTAACTCTTTCATGTTGTAATTATGGGGTATTGTTTGTAGAATGTTGAAGAAAAAATGAATTTAATCCATTTTTGTATAAGGCTGTAACATAAAATGTGGCAAAAGTTAAGCGCTGTAAATACTTTCTGGATGCTGTATGTGTGTGTGTGTTCCATATATACAGTATATTTGGACGCAGGCACAATTTTCATACTTTTGGCTCTGTACACCACTAGAATTAAAAACACTGAATTATAATCAACTGTCTGCTGGACACCTGTTTAATGAATAATTAGACTCACCTGTAGTTGAATTCTTGTTAAGTAGGATCTTGTTCTCTAAAATTTAGCTTTGCTCCTGAGACTTTATTTGGGAAGTATTCATTTTTTGCAACATGGTCTTGAATGAATTTGTTAGGAAAATAATTTTTTTTTGTGTGTGCAAATTAACAAATCTTGTTTGCAATCAATGGCCCGCATTTGTTGGAGTATTTTGTAGTATAGTATTTTTTCCCACGAATTGAGCTTTCTTTCAGTGGTATTTGATCGCCTGTGCGGTTTTTTATTTTTTTGTGCTATGAAAAAAAAATAGACCGACAATTTTGAGACAAAAAGCAGTATTTTTGACTTTTTGCTATTAAACCTGTCTAGTGCAAAAATTTAGAAAATCAAATTTCGTCATATTTTCGCCAAAATGTATTTTACTACATGTCTTTGCTAAAAAAAAAAAAAAAAAATCCCAATATGTGTAAATTAATTGGTTTACGTGAAAGTTATAGCTTTTACAAATGGCGGTATAGATATTGGAATTCTTTTTTTTTTTTTTTTTTTTTTTCCAACTAGTATTGATGGCGATCAGCGACTTATAGCAGGACTGCGGCAGACATTCTAATACTGGGGGGAACTGACTTGGTGTCACTGACATCCCCAGTGACACCAATACAGTGATCGGTGCTAAAAAATAGCACTGACACTGTACTAATTTCCCTGGGCAGGAAGGGGTTAACATGAGGGGCGATTAAAGGGTTAACTGTGCGGAGTGTTTTACTGGGGGGCAGTGTGTTAGTGCTTCACTGTAAGCACACTGCTCTGGATAGCTGTGCTGTACACAGCCATCCAAAGCAGTGGGCCCGAGTCGACAGGGAGGAGGATGGCAGCGTGGGTAGGGCGCATGCGCGCCCCCTACCCGGTGATGCAAAATCACGTGTGTGTGTGTATATATATATATAATGTGATTTTGTGCACCCGTGCTGCCCTGTACCAGTATTTCTGCTATAGGGCGGCCGGGAAGCGGTTAATTAGGATTTTGTTGTCTAAAATTTTAGCTTTGCTCCTAAGACTTTTATTGGGGTGAATTCATTTTAGCAACATGGTCTTGAATGAATTTGTTAGGAAAAATACTTTTAGTGTGTGCAAATTAACAAATGTTGTTTGCAATCAATGGCTCGCATTTGTGAGAGTATTTTGTAGTATAGGGACCCATAGAAAATATTGATTCTGAAAGGAAAGTAAAGGTTTTCTGACAAATCTGTTGTGGTGTGCTCATTCATGCTGAGTACTGTAGGTTTCTACGCATTACTGTTGACAGAACTGATCCAAAAAGGCAGAAACTACTCAAAATTGCCTATTATATTTTTACACTTCTTAAATACCGCATGCCTGGACCACTACTTATTTACCGCATACATCTAATTATTTACTTCCTTCTGTCAATTGACTTTAACACCTTTTACATGCAGTATTTACCCCAAAACGGTATAGTGAATTGGCAGTTTCAATATCACATGTGGTATTTAGGGAAAATGTGTGTGGACAACTAAATACTGCATGGGAGTTCCGTTTGTTAATGGAGCCCAGTATTATAATAGCACAAGTAGTGCTAACACACCAAAAGACACTAAATATGCCTCATGCTTCTCTGTTAATTGAAAAAGTTTGATAGCTATACTGTGGGCATACCTTTTGTATATGTCTGTGGCTTTAGATCTGTGTATTCAGTTCTTTTTGATATAAAATATGTAATCCAGCAGGGACATGAAGACTGCATATACTGGCCACAGCATTAAAAAGACCTCAGAATTCAGCTGTAAAGACTGCCACAGTAAGAAGCTAGTTTGTGTATAAACTTACTAGCTGCTTACAAAAGGTCAGTTTGGATTGGCTTTGGATGAACTAATATTGGAAGAATGGTGGACATCACCTCAGAATACATAGCCTCTCAATCTGATTTCTGGTGCACAGGGTTTTATAGAATGGTTATAAAAAAATGTAAGATGCTGCACTAGGAAGAAGAAAAATTTTAATTTTTATATATACATTTTTTTTTTATCACATATTTTATATATGACCGTTCTTTAATATCAACATGCACATCACTTTCTATTCTTATGGGTAGTATGTCTGACTATTTTATATTTTTTAGTTGTAAGAACCTGGTAGACCTGAGAAAACATCTGGACACACACAGCAAGCTGCCCGCATATTGTTGTGAATACGAAGACTGTAGCTTCACTGCTCGTTCTCTGTGTTCTGTCAAAGCTCACTACAGAAAGGTGCATGAGGTAAGAGTAATGATGATGGTTCTACTGTATTTACATGTACACTTTTTTTTTTTTTTTTATCAGTATGCAGGTTTTCATCCCAATTATAAATGTATTCAGCATTTTACGTTTGGGCTTTTATACAATTCTGGACTGGAATTTAAACTTGGCTGTAGTGCCAAGGCTTGCCCAAGCGTCATTGAAGATAGTGATAGAGATATAATATATTTATATACACACACACAGGTGAAACTCGAAAAATGACATGCAAAGCAAGATAGTTCAAGCCGTGATTTGTCATAATTGTGATGATTATGGCTTACAGCTCATGAAAACCCCAAATCCACAATCTCAGAAAATTAGAATATTACATGCAATCAATAAAACAAGGATTGTACATAGAACAATATCGGACCTCTGAAAAGTATAAGCATGCATATGTACTCAGTACTTGGTTTGGGTCCCTTTTGCAGCAATACTGCCTCAATGCGGCGTGGCATGGAAGCTATCAGCCTGTGGCACTGCTGAGGTGTTATTGAAGACCAGGATGCTTCAATAGCGGCCTTCTGCTCTTCTGCAGTGTTTGGTCTCATGTCTCTCATCTTTCTCTTGGCAATGCCCCATAGATTCTCTGTGGGGTTCAGGTCAGGTGAGTTTGCTGGCCAATCAAGCACCGTAATCCCACGGCCATTGAACCAGGTTTTGGTGCTTTTGGCAGTGTGGGTAGGTGCCAAGTCCTGCTGGAAAATGAAGTCAGCATCCCTATAAAGCTCGTCTGCGGAAGGAAGCAGGAAGTGCTCCAAAATTTCCTGATAGATGGCTGCGTTGACCCTAGACTTAATGAAGCACAGTGGACCAACACCAGCAGATGACATGGCTCCCCAAATCAACACAGACTGTGGAAACTTCACCCTGGACTTCAAGCATCTTGCAGTGTGTGCCTCTCCATTCTTCCTCCATACTCTGGGTCCTTGGTTTCCAAATGAGATGCAAAAGTTGATCTCATCAGAAAAGAGGACTTTGGACCACTGAGCAACAGACCAAGTCTGTTTTTCTCTTTAGCCCAGGTAAGACGCTTTTGACGTTGTTGTTGTTCAGGAGCAGCTTGACAAGAGGAATACAACATTTAAAGCCCATGTCCAGGATCCGTCTGTGTGTGGTGGCTCTTGATGCACTGACTCCAGCCTCAGTCCACTCCTTGTGAAAGTCCCCAACACTTTTGAATGGCCTTTTCCTGACAATCCTCTCCAGGCTGTGGTCATCCCTGCTGCTTGTGCACCTTTTTCTTCCACACTTTTCCCTTCCACATAACTTTCTATTACTGTGCTTTGATGCAGCACTTTGGGAACATCCAACTTCTTTTGCACTTTACCTTTTTGAGGCTTTCCCTCTTTATGGAGGGTGTCAATGATGGTTTTCTGCACAACTGTCAGGTCAGCAGTCTTTCCCATGATTGTGATTCCTACTGAACCAGACTGAGAGACCATTTAAAGCTGATTAGAGTGGGACACTTTGAGCCTAGAATATTGCACCTTTTCACAATATTCAAATTTTTTGAGATTGTGGATTTGGGGTTTTCATGAGCTGTAAGCCATAATCATCACAATTATTACATGCAAAGCAAGATAGTTCAAGCTGTGATTTGTCATGAGTCTATCTCATATATTAGTTTCACCTTTTAAGTTGCATTACTGAAATAAATGAACTTTTGCACATATTCTAATTTTTCTCTAGTTTCACCTGTGTGTGTGTGTGTGTGTGTGTGTGTGTGTGTGTGTGTATATATATCACTATCTATTATACAATGCCTTGAAAAAGTATTCATCCCCCATGAAATGTTCCACATTTTGTCATGTTACAACAAAAAATGTAAATGTATTTAATTGGGATTTTATGTGGTAGACCAACACAAAGTGGCATATAATTGTAAAGTGGAAGGAAAATGATAAATGGTTTTCAGGATTTTTCACAAATATCTGAAAATCATGGCTTGCATTTATATTCTGCCCCCCCCCTGAGTCAATACTTTGTAGAACCACCTTTCGCTGCAATTACAGCTGCAAGTCTTTTTGGGGATGTCTCTACCAGCATTGCACATCTAGAGAGGGACATTTCTGCCCATTCTTCTTTGCAAAATAGCTCAAGCTCTGTCAGATTGGATGGAGACATCTGAACAGCAATTTTCAAGTCTTGCCACAGATTTTCAATTGGATTTAGGTCTGGATTTTGACTGGGCCATTCGAACACATGAATATGCTTTGATCTAAAACATTCTATTGTAGCTCTGGCTGTATGTTTAGGGTCATTGTCCTGCTGGAAGGTGAACCTCCACCCCAGTCTCAAGTCTTTTGCAGACTCTTAACAGGTTTTCTTCTAAGGTTGCCCTATATTTGGCTCCATCTATCTTCCCATCAACTCTGACCAGCTTCCCTGTTCTTGCTGAAGAAAAGCATCCCCCCCAACATGATACTGCCACCACCAGGTTTCACGGAGTGGATGGTGTGTTTCAGGGTGATGTGCAGTGTTAGTTTTCCACCACCCTTAGTGTTTTGCTTCACTAATGGCTTTCTTCTTGCCACTGTTCCATAAAGGCCAGATTTGTGGAATGCACTACTAATAGTTGTCCTGGGGCCAGATTCTCCCACCTGAGCTGTGGATCTCTGCAGCTCCTCCAGAGTTACTGATTCTCTGATTAATGCTCTCCTTGCCCAGCCTGTCAGTTTAGGTGGACGGCCATGTCTTGGTAGGTTTGCAGTTGTGCCATACTCTTTCCATTTTCAGATGATAGATTGAACAGTGCTCTGTGAGTTGTTCAAAGCTTGGGATATTTATTTATAACCTAACCCTGCTTCAAACGTCTCCACAACTTTATCCCTTACCTGTCTGGTGTGTTCCTTGGCCTTCATGAAGCTGTTTGTTCACTAATGTTCTCTAACAAACCTCTGAGGACTTCACAGAACAGCTGTATTCATACTGAGATTAAATTTACACACAGGTGGACTCTATTTACTAATTAGGTGACTTCTGAAGGCAATTGGTTCCACTGGATTTAGTTAGGGGTATAAGAGTAAAGGGGGGCTGAATATAAATACACACCGCACTTTTCAGATCTACATTTATAAAATATTTTGAAAATTTATTTTCCACCTCACAACTATGTGCCACTTTGTGTTGGTCTCTCACATAAAATCCCCAATAAAATACATTTACGTTTTTGGTTGTAACATGAGAAAATGTGGAAAATTTCAATGGTATGAATACTTTACTATATATATGAGTTTTTTTTTTTAAACTGTAAAAACACTAACGCTGGAAAACGCGGCAAACTGGCGTTTTTGGAAGTTTTTTAAGGAAAAAACATTTTTCCAGGTAAAAAACGCTAAAAACCACCAATGCGGATAAACGCAAAAACACATCACATTTTTAACGTGACTTTACACAGCTAACATTACCAATGCTATTAAAACGCCCAGTGTGCCTAGAGCCTTATACTCATACACACATTTTTTTGTCCTTTTTGAAAGGTGTGCAGTCATAGACAATGATGATAAAATAGATACCTCCAAGTGTAGTCTTAGGAGGTCTGGATTGAAATTTAGTTGCAAACAATGTTTTTTTGGTCTGACAGATTTACCTGCTTATTTAAAAACTGTGAGTTGCTTTAAAGCAGAACTTCAGGTTTTAGCGAACTTTAGATTGTGTGGAACAATCTGGTCCAAACCAATTATTAACTTCACTAACAAATGCAGTGGCTGTGAGCACTGTATAAACTGTATGTAGGCACAGCAGCACTAAGTCAAGCTTGATTTTGTTCAGGGAACACGAGAAGTCTCTGTCCCACTTCCAGAACACTGTGATGTATACTATATGTAGCTGAGGCTACATACAGTTTATACAGCTTATGCCAAACAAACTATTTTAAATTCACTAAAACCTAGAGATCATCTTTAAGTGTGGCCAATTTTAAAGTGTTACTAAACCCAGGACCCTGCATTCACTCTATCTGGTCTCACACAGTACACACAACATGGAAATGCTATTTTTTTTTTAGTAAATGTAAACTGCTAAATACCTTTTCTCATCAGCAGGTAGAGCAGTCTTGTAACTTCTATCAGTGTTCAGCAGAGCACTGGTTAAAGCTTGTAGGATGAGTTTTTCTTTCTGCTCTGGAGGATTCAGGACCCCTGACCCTCTGTTTGGACAGTGCTGATTTTGCCCTGAGCTGAACACATGCACTCCCCCCCCCCCCCCCCCCCCCCCCCCCCCCCCCCCCAAAAAAAAAAAAAACCCTCTCTAGCAATACACACCAAACTGAGCATGTGCAGAGTGTCTCCACACAATATGTCTTATCAGGAGATGAGGGGGGCACTGGAAGAAGGGGGGGGACTCAGAGAAGTCAGGATGAAACAGAATTTTTACACAATGCAGAGGATTAACCCCTTAGGTTCCACATTGAGTATGTCAAGCATGCTTTACTGCATATACAGACTGATTTTACTGTTGTGGGTTTATTAACACTTTAATGATGATAGTAAAAACAAATCTCTGGTTTATGACATTTTATATAATTTATAGTGTGCATATGTACAGTATATAGTGTGTGTATTGGATGCTGGGAGCAGGCAAGCTCCAATGTGTCGCTGCTAAACCATTCCATTGAGCCACCACACTCCCAAACTTTTCTTTCTCAATAGTTTTCTTTATTTGTAGTAAACATCTTCTGATTCTCATTTTTAATGCATATTGTCTCCAAGCTGTATAAACTTGAATGCTTATTGAATTTAAACATATCAGGTGATGTGTATTTGTGTAAAGAGGGAGGGTGAGGCCTAGAGATCAACACCCTATATCAAGGTGTGCATCATTATTAGGCAGCTTCTCTTCCTCAGGCAACATGGGCCAAAAAAAGAGATTTAACTGACTCTGAAAGACTTTTTACAATTTTTGCAAGAAACCTGTTGAGAAAAAAAGATGCAAAGATTTGAAAAGAATCATAAGTGAAGCTACCAGAAACCCATTCTCCTCCAGTGCTGTCATATTCCAGAACTGCAACCTACCTGGGGTGGCCAGAAGTACAAGTTGTTCAGTGCTTAGAGACATGGCCAAGGTAAGGAGGGCTGAAACCCGACCACCATTGAACGAAACATGCAAGTTGAAACATCAAGACTGGGCTAAGAAGTATCTGAAGA